CAAACAACGAAAAAGGCTCTTTATTAATTTTCACAACAATCCTCTCACTGGTTCCTTCAAACTCTGGGGAGAATTAATGCAAAAACAACGAAAAAGGCTCTTTATTAATTTTCACAACAATCCTCTCACTGGTTCCTTCAAACTCTGGGGAGAATTAATGCAAAAACAACGAAAAAGGCTCTTTATTAATTTTCACAACAATCCTCTCACTGGTTCCTTCAAACTCTGGGGAGAATTAATGCAAAAACAACGAAAAAGGCTCTTTATTAATTTTCACAACAATCCTCTCACTGGTTCCTTCAAACTCTGGGGAGAATTAATGCAAAAACAACGAAAAAAGGCTCTTTATTAATTTTCACAACAATCCTCTCACTGGTTCCTTCAAACTCTGGGGAGAATTAATGCAAAAACAACGAAAAAGGCTCTTTATTAATTTTCACAACAATCCTCTCACTGGTTCCTTCAAACTCTGGAGAAAATTGATGCAAAAACAACGAAAAAAAGCTCTTTATTAATTTTCACAACAATCCTCTCACTGGTTCCTTCAAACTCTGGGGAGAATTAATGCAAAAACAACGAAAAAGGCTCTTTATTAATTTTCACAACAATCCTCTCACTGGTTCCTTCAAACTCTGGGGAGAATTAATGCAAAAACAACGAAAAAGGCTCTTTATTAATTTTCACAACAATCCTCTCACTGGTTCCTTCAAACTCTGGGGAGAATTAATGCAAAAACAACGAAAAAGGCTCTTTATTAATTTTCACAACAATCCTCTCACTGGTTCCTTCAAACTCTGGGGAGAATTAATGCAAAAACAACGAAAAAGGCTCTTTATTAATTTTCACAACAATCCTCTCACTGGTTCCTTCAAACTCTGGGGAGAATTAATGCAAAAACAACGAAAAAGGCTCTTTATTAATTTTCACAACAATCCTCTCACTGGTTCCTTCAAACTCTGGAGAAAATTGATGCAAAAACAACGAAAAAAGGCTCTTTATTAATTTTCACAACAATCCTCTCACTGGTTCCTTCAAACTCTGGGGAGAATTAATGCAAAAACAACGAAAAAGGCTCTTTATTAATTTTCACAACAATCCTCTCACTGGTTCCTTCAAACTCTGGGGAGAATTAATGCAAAAACAACGAAAAAGGCTCTTTATTAATTTTCACAACAATCCTCTCACTGGTTCCTTCAAACTCTGGGGAGAATTAATGCAAAAACAACGAAAAAGGCTCTTTATTAATTTTCACAACAATCCTCTCACTGGTTCCTTCAAACTCTGGGGAGAATTAATGCAAAAACAACGAAAAAGGCTCTTTATTAATTTTCACAACAATCCTCTCACTGGTTCCTTCAAACTCTGGAGAAAATTGATGCAAAAACAACGAAAAAAGGCTCTTTATTAATTTTCACAACAATCCTCTCACTGGTTCCTTCAAACTCTGGGGAGAATTAATGCAAAAACAACGAAAAAGGCTCTTTATTAATTTTCACAACAATCCTCTCACTGGTTCCTTCAAACTCTGGAGAAAATTGATGCAAAAACAACGAAAAAAGTGTCTTTATTAATTTTCACAACAATCCTCTCACTGGTTCCTTCAAACTCTGGGGAGAATTAATGCAAAAACAACGAAAAAGGCTCTTTATTAATTTTCACAACAATCCTCTCACTGGTTCCTTCAAACTCTGGAGAAAATTGATGCAAAAACAACGAAAAAAGGCTCTTTATTAATTTTCACAACAATCCTCTCACTGGTTCCTTCAAACTCTGGGGAGAATTAATGCAAAAACAACGAAAAAGGCTCTTTATTAATTTTCACAACAATCCTCTCACTGGTTCCTTCAAACTCTGGAGAAAATTGATGCAAAAACAACGAAAAAAGGCTCTTTATTAATTTTCACAACAATCCTCTCACTGGTTCCTTCAAACTCTGGGGAGAATTAATGCAAAAACAACGAAAAAGGCTCTTTATTAATTTTCACAACAATCCTCTCACTGGTTCCTTCAAACTCTGGGGAGAATTAATGCAAAAACAACGAAAAAGGCTCTTTATTAATTTTCACAACAATCCTCTCACTGGTTCCTTCAAACTCTGGGGAGAATTAATGCAAAAACAACGAAAAAGGCTCTTTATTAATTTTCACAACAATCCTCTCACTGGTTCCTTCAAACTCTGGGGAGAATTAATGCAAAAACAACGAAAAAGGCTCTTTATTAATTTTCACAACAATCCTCTCACTGGTTCCTTCAAACTCTGGGGAGAATTAATGCAAAAACAACGAAAAAGGCTCTTTATTAATTTTCACAACAATCCTCTCACTGGTTCCTTCAAACTCTGGGGAGAATTAATGCAAAAACAACGAAAAAGGCTCTTTATTAATTTTCACAACAATCCTCTCACTGGTTCCTTCAAACTCTGGGGAGAATTAATGCAAAAACAACGAAAAAGGCTCTTTATTAATTTTCACAACAATCCTCTCACTGGTTCCTTCAAACTCTGGAGAAAATTGATGCAAAAACAACGAAAAAAGGTGAAAGAACGGATAAACGGATAAAATAAACGGTTCGGCCCCCAAATTGCCTCCGATTAATCGGGGTATTAAGGTCCAGATACACAAAATACAAAGAAAAACACGGTTTTATACAAAAATAATATTTATTATTCCGTATAATTAATAACGAACAACAATATCACCAAAAGATAACTCTAAACTTGACGTAAATCGTCCAAACTGACACACAAGCTGTTCAAAAACTAACTCTAATTCAAACACACCCGGTTGGCGCGCTTGTCCTCAGCCGAATAGCGGAGCGTCGTTGCAAGCGCACAGGGAACTGCAGAAAGGGTTTGGGGGTAGCTTGCCTGGGCAACTAATGAATATATGGGTTCTCCAGAATTTCTAAAGTTCAGCTTACATGTCACAACGGCAATAGCCACTCCCGTTCATTGCCTTGGCGTCTATTTTATACTTTTCAAAACGCCGGAATACATGAAAACAATAAGATTGTACCTAATAAACTTGCACACGTGGATTGTGTTGTTCGATTACTCAGTGGGAATTCTCACAGTACCCATCATCTTGTTACCAGCGTTTGCTGGGTATCCATTTGGGTTACTTCAGACATATGGGGTCCCTACTATGGCTCAAACTTTGGTTGTACTCCAATTTCTAGCATGTAAGTATTAAAAAATAAAAAATTTTCAAAATGTTTTGAAGATGTTAACAATTCTAACATTATCATTTTTGAAAGTCGCTTCCATATCATTTGCACCTATGTATCCTAGAAAATCTTATTGGTCCTACTTTCGATATCCATGGATTTTACTTCACTATTTCGTTATTTTAGTAGGTCTAGTCTTATTTGGGCTTATGACCCCAGACCAAAGTTCTGCAGTGCAGAAAGTTCTGCAATCGCTTCCCTGTTTGCCGCAAGATTCCTACAAACTACATATTTTCGTCCTTGCCGACGATCACACTTACCACCTAGTACTTATCGTAATCTATATCGTTGCAACAAGTACCGAAGCCAGCTTCTTTGTCACATTTACAATTTGGCATACCGCTACTCAGTTTCGAACAAAGATAATGTCACAAAAAACCTATCAAATGCAAAAAACGTTTTTCAAGACTCTATTAGTTCAAATGACAGTGCCAGCGGTTATGCTTATCATTCCAATGATTTATGCCTTGATTGTAGTTGTGCGAGATATTCACAATCAATCGCTCACCAATATTTGTATCATAATTGCATCACTGCATGGATTCGTGTCAACAATTGTCATGTTATTTGTACACCGACCTTATCGCAAGGAGTTGTTTCATTTTTTCACAAGATCCTCACACGATTCTGTGGCTCCGTGTAGAAACCCAGTATTTGTGTTAAATTGAAATAAAAAAGTTTTGAATGAATGCTTTTAGAGTAAATTTGTCATGATAGAAAACAAAATATCAAAACTTTCATTATCTCTAAATTTCTGGAATCATCATTACTAATAACATTCACCAGATTCCGTATATTGGTATGTATGTCGCGCGTCATCTCACCCACTCAAAGTTAACCGATTGAGCTGGAACCTCGACAGGTAGGTCAGAAATGTGTTTAATTGGATGCCCGAACTGCTCTATTTTCGAAATTTTGATTTTACTCTACTTGGCAGCCTTAGACTGTCTCATGCTGGCTTGGGCTGACATAGACTAGCTTTGGATGACTTAAGCTGTCGAAAACAGGGCCGCGGCATTACGCCGTTATACACCTCCTGTGCGTCTACTTACCCTTCGCAGAGTTGTTGCTCCCCCTCTTCCATCACCTCCTATCCGTCGAGTACTTTCCCATGGGGCGTTTATTGACTTTCGGGAAATCAATGAACATAAAGTCTTCAGACATCTTCTCTCATTATTTTTGTTTTCTTTCTCATATTGCCCAATCTTTTATCTACCTATTCCTTCAACATCCAACATGAGCCAAGGTCAACCGCTGTCGTACGCTTGTACCAAGAATGTGATACAACAAATGGAAATGGCTTTGATGTAAGATTAATGAAAATCTTCATTAAAAAAAAATATATTGCAGACGTAATCTAGCTGAACGCCTTCCAAAAACCGTAATGGCAGAGAGGGCAACGCCGCTGAAACTGAGATGGTTGCGATTGACGCCAATTGATACTGCAATCAACGAATTCATATACCGTGTGCAGTTGGTTGCAGTTGGTCCAGATGCTTGCAAATTGATGAAGCTCTATGACGGTCGAATTGATTTTGATTTGACAAAATACGGAAAAAGAGATTATCACGAATCACTAGCGGATGGTGATATTGTTATCGAAGCTAACGATTTAGAATCCTGGAAACGGGCAAAAAGCGCTGCAGATACTTATCAAGCTGAAACCAATTTCCACTCAATTGTGGCCGGTCGAAGGATCAATACGGCAAAGATTTGATTCGATGTCCAACTCTATATCAAGTTCATGATCCTTGAGAACTACGACAAGATCATTAAAACTGAGTATGTGAAATGTAGTAGCGATAGAGGACATCGAGACGCGGCCAAGTACATGACCACCAAACTTTTGGAAGGAAGAATGCGAAATTTGTCAACTAATAAATTGACAGTTACAAGCTACGGAGGAGTACTGCGTTTGTCAGCGAATCTTATGATAAAATCAAGCGAGATCGAAGTGTTTCACAACGCCTCATCAGTTCTAAGTTCTATTTCTCCAATAATTACATTGATAACTATCGCCATCCATTAAATGAAACTGCCGAAAAAATTTTCATCGTGACTGGAAAAGATGACTGGAAAAGACCCTTCGTATGGGAGAGAATAATTTTTGATGTGCAAACGAGAGTCGTTCGTTTTGGATGCTCCCTTATGCTATGCATGAACCGACTTAACAAAATTATTGCTACCTTCACTGATTCATGGAGAATTACCAAAAAACAGTTTTCGATCGAGTACCATAAGGCTAGTTTTGTGCTGCTGTTCATGAAAGAAACTCAAAATATGGAAACGGCTGAGTCTAATGTTTTAAAGGATAAAGGGTGAGTTATATTTTTAAATTTTAGCCTGATAGGGATTTCTTGAGCGGACCTTGCCATAGTTTCTTTTAGGATCTACTTTTTAAAATTAACCAAATTAGATATGACTAACATTCTACTACTATGAAAATTGTAACTTGTATGTGAACAAAGTTACAGATGAAAAAACACAGCTCGGATTGGTCATTTTTTGAATTTTTGTTCATAGGCAAGCTACAGTATGCCAAATAGTATCATTTTGTAGTACTTGTCAAGTTCTATCCAATTTAGCTGATTTGGAAAATATTGGTTTGTAAAAAAGGGCAGAGCCAGCGCACGTTTTTCGAATTTGTTTCAAATATTAATTCTAATTTTGCTTATCATTGAAGATGTGATCTATTCCGTTATACAATATTTCTCCCAATGAAATCTGGTTCGAGATTGTTAGTGTGCTTAAATATAGGTTTGGCTTATGACGAGCATCGGGACTATATTGTCAACTTCGAGGTCGTCGACGCTGAGTAATTCGTGGTTAGAATCTGTCAATAATTTTTTTTTCCCATTATAATCATCACTTTTCTTATTGCTATCGGAATATTACACCTTTCTTGATAGGTTGATTGATGAACTACTAGGTATTTCCAATTTTCGTCCCATAAGTCACTTTTCCCTCTCAGTGAACCTTGACTCATTTGAACCTTTGTTTTTCATCCCCTGAGTATCAAAAATTATTGAATAAAATTTACACAAACAGATTATCCTCTCAATATACAGCTGTTCTTTTCTGTCTGCACATTTACTACATCTTCACCACATTACATTTCGCCCCTACTGGAATTCCCTGAAACCAATTTCCTAGTAATGAATTGCACAGCAGATGGTTTGTAAAATTAAATTGAGTCTCGATAGAAAGCTATTCACTCAATGATGAATTACACGTGCATATCAGATTTTGGATATCTGGATTCACCTAGATTCCTATTACTCGCTCTTCATATGATTACAGTTTTCTCAACGCCCATTCACTTCATAGGGCTATCCTGTCTTCTATTAAAAACTTCGGATAGAATGAAGTCCATAAAATGGTACTTGGTGAGTGTTCAAGTTTGGATTATCACTTTTGACTACTCTCTATCTGTACTTTGTGTTCCTTATCTCTTATTTCCAGCACCAGCTGGATATGCGTTAGGCTATCTGAGTACTTTTGGTATTCCAATGGAATACCAAGGAATGGTAGTTTTGCTTTCATTGGCGTGTAAGTGAAAAAATCTTCGGAAATACTGTATTGGAAGTTTGCAGATTTTTGTACAGGGATCCTTGCAGTTTTTGAAAAGAGGTTCTACATAGTTTGCGCTTATCAAGCAACATTTTGGAAATGGTTTCGGTATATTTGGCTTATCTTGCATGTTTTGGTAGTAACAGCGTTATATTTAAGCTTCTTGCTTCTTATCCCGGATCAAAAAGGGCTGAAGGAGAAAGTTTTTAGGGTAAGAACAAACCAAACCGCAGTTATAAATATTTTAATGTTTAAGATGCTTCCATGTCTCCCTCATTACATCTACAAAGAGCCTATCCTTGTCGTTACTGAAAACTACACTTACCATTTCATAGTTAGTTGCTCATTCATAATAATCTACACCATTGAAGGAACAATATTAAGCGGTTCTGTTATTCTGACTACGATAAAGCAACTGAAAACAAGAAAAATGTCTCCAAAAGCGTTTCAAACCCAAAAGAGCACATTTATCGCATTGCTCACCCAAATGCTAGTTCCTTTGGTTATGATTATTACACCTTGTACTTACGGATGGGCATCTTTAGTAGTAAATTATCACAATCAGGCACTTATGAACTTTGCTATGATTACCGGATCGCTACATGGTGCATTGTCAACTATCATTATGATTACTGTACATCGATCATATCGGGAAGCAGTTCAAGATGTGTTCAAGGGTAGCTCGAGAAGAGAAACAACAAATGATCACAGAAAATATTTATTCGTTGTAATAAACTATTGATTTTCGAAGTATGTGCTATCCGAGAACAACATTTCCTTCAGTTCGATCACACTGACAACCTTTTTCATATCTTCGACAGAAACCGAGAAGAATTGGCTCAAAGTTCAAAGCACTGATTTTTTGAACTGGTTTTTTTCACCTGAATATCAGAAATCAGCAGAATAAAATTCTCAGAAATTCTCAGAAAAAAAACCGTAAAACCTGTATTAGAAGGGCCCCTCTAATTGAAGTGCCCCCCTAGACACCCCGCGAAAAATAGAAGTGCCCCTCTAATTGAAGTGCCCCCCTCTATTTGAAGTGCCCCTTTGCTACTTACTGTGGCCGCCGACGACGAAATGTTGCGGCCCGAGAAAAAAAAGTTTCGTTTTTTTTCTACTTTTTGTCGTTTTTTTTTGTTAATTTGGTGTTATCTCCCCGTTGAAATCGAGAGTAATGAATTTTTCAACTTCAGAATGTCGGAGGAAGACTCTTTTCATGATGCATCGGAGGAATAATGTGAGATATCAAAAAAAACTGAGAACACAAGGAAAAGAAGACAGAATTTTACGATGGAATTCAAAAAACAAGTTGTGGATTTTGCAAACAAAACTTTGCTTATGACAAATACAATTGTTGATGTTAAAAAATTGTTAAGTAAAAACAACAAAATTTTAACCGAAAGACGATGTCCCTATAATAAAAGTGCCCTTCTCAGCGACCCGCGAAAAATAGAATTGCCCCCTCTAATTGAAGTGCCCCTCTAATTGAAGTGCCCCCAAGAGACCTCACAAAAAATAGAAAGGCCGGCACTTCTAATACAGGTTTTACGGTATATTACCTTCTTAAAAGTCAGAAATTTTTTTGTCTGCATGTATTTACATATACTACAACTTCATCACTTAACATTTTGCATCGACTAAATCAAAAACGGTCATATAAACTTTTGAAACCCCTTGAAATCAAGTTCCTTTTAATGAATTCTTCAGCAGATGTTTTGGAACTAGAGTCCTTGTAGAAGGCTTTTTACATTATTATGAATTACACCTGCATCTTAGATTTCGGATATCTGGATTCACCTAGATTCCTATTAGTCGCTCTTAATATTATAACAGTTTTCTCAACACCCATTCATTTTATAGGGCTATCCTGTCTTCTATTAAAAACTTCGGATAGAATGAAGTCCATAAAATGGTACTTGGTGATAGTTCAAGTTTGGATTATCACATTTGACTACTCCCTATCTGTCCTTTGTGTTCCCTATATCTTGTTTACAGCACCAGCCGGATATGGATTAGGTATTTTGAGTAGTATTGGTATTCAAGCGGATTATCAAACTCTGATACTTTTAATTTCAATGGCGTGTCGGACGGAAAATTTTTTGACTATTGTCTATTCAAAATAATCGCGCGGGTGAACGAGTGAAAAAACGTGTAGAGAGTCTCCAAACCTGTAGAGGCGCTGTAGAGACGCATCTATATCGTGTGCGCTTATCAAGCAACATTTTGGAAATGGTTTCGGTATATTTGGCTTATCTTGCATGTTTTGGTAGTAACAAGGTTGTATTCAAGCTTCTTGCTTTTTTTTCCAGGCAGATCAAAATGGACAAAAGGAAAATCTTTCCAGGGTAAGAACGAACTGAACGACAGCTTTAAAGTCAGGAAATGTTCCAGAAACTTCCATGCCTTCCTCGTTTCATCTACCAAGCTCCAATAGTTGTCGTAACTGAAAACTACGTAGTTTGTTCCGCATTCATACTAATCTACACCATTGAAGTTACACTACACAGGTGATTCGCGAACAATCCGTTACAGACTCTCCGTGTTCGTGCGCGGTTGAAATAGGAATCGTATGCGGACCGTACGCGAACCGTTTCCAGCAAAACACATCACATTATTGCGGGTTTCTCCGTATTCTGTCCGTTCGCGAACTCCGTATCCGATCCCG